GTGCCCCTCTCCTTTATCCAGCCCTGTGCCCCTCTCCTTTATCCAGCCCTGTGCCCCTCTCCTTTGCCCAGCCCTGTCCTCAGCTGCCAGCCGGGCACACAGGGGAGAGCCCCCGCAGCGCTGGGGGCTGTGGGGGTGGCAGGTACGATGGATATCGTGTTACACATGACAATAGCTCGTGTTTTCAACCTTCCCAGCGCTGCCAGTCTCTCCCAGCCTGCTGTACCACTGCAGACACCGGCACACATCGCTGGGGCTCTCCCCTAGCCAGCATTCACACGGAGCAGAGGCTGCACCAGCAGAGCATCCCTCTGCCCATCAGAACAAAGCTGAACCTCCCCAGGAACACAGCTTAGCCTGGCATCGAGCTGTACACAGCCACTCAGGAGACACTGACACTGCTTATGCACACTCTAAAGAGAGATTTGCAGCAGCTCTTTGCTGCCATCTCTTTCCCTCATGAAGTTATACAGGCTAAAAAGCCAAATTTGTGCATGTAAAACCTTTACTTGGCAAGGAAAGTTCAGCAGGAGTGTGTCAGCATCCAGCAACATCCCCTTGTAGCTGCCAGCATCGCTTCCACAATGCAGCCCTGGAGGTGTGTGTGGAGGGAAATCCCAAACTCTTATATCAGCTTCAGAAATTACCTCTCCTCCAGCATTTCTGCATACAAAAGAAGCCTTTGATTTGCTGCTGGTGGTTTTATTGTCCCACTGGTGTCTGCTGGCAGTACCCCAATTGCAGGAGACCCATCACTCAGCTCACGAGCTGCCTGTCCCCCCCGAGGGGGGCACTTGCTGGCACAGGGGCTTCAACACAGGTTTAATCTACAGCTCTTCATTATGCACAGCATGGAATCCTTATGGAAACCCTGTGGGGCTGCACTTCCCCAAGAAGGACTCAGAAGGCTGCACTTCAGAGCTGGCAGAGGAGCACCAGATCAGCTCCACACTTTGGGCAAATCTAGATATTAATCTTGAACTGTACAGGTGGCAAGAACCAAATGTGATGGAGAAGCCAGAATTTTGCTGCAGGTCACACACACACACACACACACACACACACACACACACACACATCCATTCAGACAGGTGTGCTTAATTATTGATGAGCATTTATGGCTGGCTTCTTTGGCTGGACACTGTTTAAACAGCCCCAGCTCCTGGTGAGAGCTCTCAGCACCTCTCACTCATGGGGGGACACCTCCAGTCGCAGTCCTTGCCCACCTTGTTTCCAAAGCCAGTGCCATAAATTTCACCCATGGCTTGACATATTTTTTTGGGAGACAGAGCAAAGCCTTCACTGATTCATTTTTGCCAGTTCAAGGCTCTGGTTTGCCACAGGCATCATCTCACTCATCTCCCTGGCTGTGCTCTCCTACGAGTGCTGCTGCACCATGACGAGGACAGCAGAGCCTGACACCACCAAGTACAGCAAAGCTTGGACAGGCATCATCCTGCCCTGGACATACTCCCTGCTCTGGACTGTTCCCCTGCTTCTTGGCTGGAGCAGCTACGGGCCAGAAGGACCAGGGATAACCTGCTCTGTGAACTGGCATTCCCAGGATGCCAACAACACATCCTGCATCATCTGCCTTTTCATCTTTTGCCTCGTAATCCCTTTTGCCATCATTGTCTATTCCTATGGGAAGCTGCTCTGTGCTGTCAGACAGGTAAGGTGATTCCTCAGCTGCCTTTTGCCTGTGACCCCCAACCAGGCAGAAGCTGATGAAGCCCATTTTCCACCTTTAGAACTCCTCTGCAGTCAGATGTGGCTCTCCTGGTGACAGGCTCCAGCCTACCAGGGCTTTAAAAGTCATACTCAGGTGTGTACAGCTGGAGCTGATGCCTTGGGGTGGCTGCCTAGAGCAGAGGCTGGACAAGATTCAGAGAATAAAGTGGGTATTTACTGAAGGCCTTCAATAGCCACACCTTGGGCAGTCAGAAACCTCCCAGAGGCTGCACCCAAGGTGGACAATGGGCACCAGTTTTTCAGACAATTAAAAGTTTGGTCCATTTACATATCAGGGGTTAATCCTCCAATTACAGCTTCAGGTAATGAAGTCATTTACCCCCAGTTTGCTCCCCCAATTCACTTTTGTTTGTACTTTTTGGGGCCTGAGGCTGTGGGGTGTCCTTGGATCTCAGGCCCAGAGGGATTTATTGTCTGACCAAAATGTGAAGACAGTAGCAAACACTCTGTATGGAGTTTGGAGTTGTGCACTGATGCAGTACAGGATTTGAAAAATATAAAAGCTAAGGCATGAGAGGTCCCTATAACAGCACCACAAATGGGGGAAGTTTGCCAGAGAATTCTAGATACTTCCAGTTACCCCTAATTAAAACTAGGAAAGATTTCCCTACCTTGATGAGATTGGTCCCGGGATTTAAATCTGCAGGAATGCTGTGGAGAGGGGTGAACATTATCAGCAGGTCCAGCATGGTCCGTGGAGAGTGTGGGAGTGGTGATTTCTGAAGGGCTTCTCTTCTGAAAGCACAAAGTGAATCTTGCAAAAAAAGGCTGCTAAGAAAATGGTCACAGATAACCAAGCTGCTGGTGGCATCAGGCAAAGCAGGAAGATGTAACTTGACAAATACAAACTGTAAGACAGACCCATGACATGAGGCAGATAACCCTGGACACAAAGCAAAGCCACTCCATAAATGACCATCACTGAGTTTTAACTTCATTTCTGCCAGGGTCGGGATTAAATGTGTGAGATGGAATTTCTTGTTTGGACTCAGATGTTTGTTAGTTCTTATCTATGTCACAGTCTCAGAAACTGTCAGTTCTGCAGCACTTCACTCTAACAAACTAAAAATGGAGTTGTATCTCTCTCTCTACAAGGCCTTTTAAGGATCAACTGTCCAATTAAGAAATTACACCTAAATTATTTTTACTTTTAACCCAATAACCAACCACCCATGCCCACAATGGGGACTTTTTTGTCCAATCACACAAAACCTCCCAAACCCACAGAGAAGAAGGTGAAGAAGGAGCAGCCTCCACCCTGAAACCTCCATCTTGCTTTGTATCTATTACTGTATTCTAAACCCTTAAACTCCAAGTTTTCCACCCTGTGATATCACACACTTCTATTCAAACTCCACACCCACAATCCCAGTGCTATCACTCAATTTTGGAAGCCTTTTCCATGGCCTCAGGTCAAATGCAGTGTTCTCCTGGGGGTCAGTGCCTGGCAGCACAGAAAATCTAAAACTCTCATTAACCAGGGTTCCAACAGACCATGAGCATTTTTTTGTGAGATGAGGAATAGTAGCTTTACATATTGCTACCCCAGTGGAACATTTGGTGCCAAACACCATCAGGGCAGCACTGTCAGACACTGGAAATGCCAGTGCAGAGGTTTTTCCTCCTTTGTGAAGAACACCTGCCTTTAGCCACGAGTGATGGACCAGCACTGGCTGCTCGTGCACAGAGGGCAGCCCCCCTTGGGGACCAGTCTGTGGCCAGGCAAGGACTCTCCCAGCACAAAGGGATCATTTACCCCCTAAACACCTCCACACTTGGCCCCTGTAGCCTGGGAGCCACCCCAGGCTGGGCTCCAGCTCCATCAGTGATCCCAGACCTGGCTTGGGCTCACCTGACACAGAAAGCACCTGTAACATAAGAGGGAATTAAATAAAGATCACCCTGTGAGACACATTTGCAGATGTAAACATTTAATTTAAGCTTATTATTGCTCAGGGACTTTGGGCAGGAGCAAATTAAATCATTGGAGATGTTTAAATTAATCCTCATATACCCCCAGCCTACTGTCTTGTTACAAATACATTTCATTCCCCACAAAAGCCACCTCAGTCCTCTCTGGTCACCCTGTGCTGGGAACAGCTGCACCACCATGGACCAGTCTCCTGAGCACAGGCAAGGGCTGGATTTCACAGGACTTCAGTGTTTTTCCATCTTTTAGGGCTAAAAATACTATTTTAGTCATGCTGATTGTTGCAAGGTATTCACAGCAGCTGGGGCTGGAGCAGGTCCTGCCTGCAAGAGAGGCTCTTCCTCTCCAAAGTTCCTCCAAGGGCAAGAAACAGCAAACAAACCTGCTTTCCTGTCGGGGTTGTGTGTCTGGTGTGTCAGAGTGATCCCAGGGCTGGGACAAGCCCTGCTGCCTCTGCCCTCTCCAGTGCTCTCCTTCACTTCTGCTGGAGCTGCAGCTGTGCAGCAGCGCTGCAGGGTGGAAGTTTTCACATTAAATACTCTCCCCACTGATGCAGCCATCCCATGAAATGTTGCATTTGGGCTCAGGAGAGGCGTCTGTCTCCAGGACAGCTGTGGAATAGAGCAGGGTGAGTGCCAGCAGCAGTTCAGGCTCAGCAGAGCCCTCGGTGGCTGCACTGGGATCTCTGCTGTGCCAGGGACCACAGTGGCATGGAAGAGGGACAGGGTGGTGGCAGGGGCTGTCACCCTCCCTGTCAGATGGGTGACCACTCTAAAGGTCAGGAGTTGTCTTTCCTGTGCTCCCTGGTCCTGCAGAAACCCCCAAACAAGGGAAAATAATACAAAATTTGTTCTGTCTGGATCAAAATTATCCTTTCAGGAAGGGATTTTCCACGAAGAGGGATGTCGCTACAGGACACGTGAAAGCACGACGTGAGCCACCTGCTATTTGCAAGGTAAAGAAGAAAGTTTATTTCTCTGATTCCACCTTTTATACTTTTGTCATGGTTTGACACGGAAAGAGAATTTTTTCCGGAAGGAAGAGGTCAATTTAGATATTGACCAATTGAAGGTGGACACACCTCTGAGAACACAGGGAGGTTAAAAGCAGAATTCCCAGGAGAACTCGCTCTCTTTGGTTCCGGTCAGGTTGCAGTGCTGTGCTCTCCCCTGCCCGGGCGTGGCTGGGTGGGGAGGGGAAGGCCCATGGCCTGACTGAGGTGGGCCCAAGGGTGGAGGGACTGGAGCCGGGCTGGCCCCCTGCAGATGGAAGGGTGGAGAAATCTGGGATGTCTCCGTTCCCCACCCCCAGAGTTCCTCTCCCGAGAGGGAGAGAGAAAGCCGCAAGGAAGGAGGAGTGGGGGGAGCTGCTGCAAGGTGTCCAGTTGTGTGGGAGTTGCTGGATGTCCGGGCATCGAGCCATCCTGGGAGTTCGGACTTTTAATCCTTCCTTGAGAAATGAAAGCTTTGTGAAATTTTTCCCCTCCTCAGTTTGAAAGAGAGGAAGAGGGACACCTTGGACCTTAGGATGGGATGTTGGAAGGAGGAATTCTGGATGGGAGGGGGACAAGGAGTGGCTTTTGGCTGGACTTTTCTGTTAGCCACAACCTGAACCAAATCTTCTCCTTCAAGAGGGACTGTGTTTTGGGAGGATGCCAGTGAGTCAAGAGACCTGCTTCAGCTGGGAAAAAGACAAAATTGGAGTGAACAGAGAAAAGGTTAGGGGGTTTGTGGTGGCGTCCCCCTGTCCTGGAAAGGAAAGAGAAGAGAAGAAGATCTCTGTTCTTGAGCCCTCAGCCCCAGGGGAAAATGGGGGGGGACTGTGGTCCCAAACAATGAAAAACTGAACTGTTGTTTTCTCCCCTCTTGGCAGGGCATCCTTGAAAGGAAAAGTCCTAAAAGCAGTCTGTCCATCCATGCATTAGTGGTGAGAGCACTGTGCATGGAAAGGAGAAGGGTCACCATGGCAAACTTTTTCTCCGGGCGGTGCCATGTGTGACATGGAAGCACAGGATGTGGAGCTGTGTTTCTTGGGAGGTCTGTGGCACAGGAGAGACTCTGTTCCCTTGATGGACTGAGTATCGATCGTCTGGAGGGTGGAAACCTGATTGGGGTCCAGATTGTGTCTCACTGTGGTTTGTTGGAGTTGGGTGGTGGGGGGAGGAATGTTTTGCAAGGTTTTCATTTGATCTTTGTGTGGTTTTTTTTTCCCCTTCTTTAGTTTTCTTTTTTATTTAGTAGTAGTAGTCTAATAAAGTTTTTTTCCTGTTATTAAGCTTGGGCCTGCTTTGCTCTGTTCTAGATTCCACTTCACAGCATTCAAGGGAGGGATCACATTTTCATAGGGGCACTGGCATTGTGCCAGTGTCAAACCATGACAACTTTCCCAAAGGTGACATTGGATTGGAGAGTGAATGGGCCACCTCTCCAAAGACATTGGACAAACTACTAGTACATTAAGTTTCTCCACCCCCATAAAAGAATGTAAACAATATGTTGTTTACAGAAATTGTGTGGGAAAATTCTCCAACAGAATGTAAACTCAGAAGGCTTTAGAAAATCTTAAGAATCAGGGTGACAGAGGGAAAGTCAGACCTGGACGGTCCTGTGGATGCACCTGGGCTCGTTTGGGAAGCCAGAAGAGAGGGGAGGCGCAGAGGCAGAAGCCCCAGAGCCTCTCTGCTGCCTCCCATGCCTGTTCCTGACCCAGGCTGCTCCCAGCTGCTTCTGCTGCTGCCCAGGAGCCCCCAGGGCAGCAGGGTGCAGGAGCAGCCAAACCCCTGGTGTGTGTAAGAGAGAGGGGAAAAAATGAACAAAAATAAGCTTCACATGCCAGCTTAATATTTAAGGAATTGAACAACAGACATTTGTGCTTTTAGTGGATCCTAAATTATAGGCAACACTGTGTAAGCCTTTAATGGTGCTTCCAGCTCCTGCCATGCATATCTGCCTGTAAGTGAGATTATCTGCAGCACTTACAGGAGCAAAACT